CGGCTGCGTGCAGAGCCAGGCTGCCGCACAAGCCTGGGCAGCCGGCCAGACGGAACGCAACATCCAGCCCGCCAGGTCTGCCTCGTCCGCGGGCAGTGTCCCAGGCTGGCAGTGCGCCCGGATGGTCCTGGGCGAGCTCACGGGGCAGATGGGCTTCAGGGCTACCGCTTCACTGCAGTCAAGTGCTCCGTTTAACAGCGCCGAAAGACACTGTGTCTGCTTGTAAAGCATGCCTCCTAGCCTGCAAAATCGTGCTGTTAGACACAGCTAGCCTCTGTCAGCCCCAAATCAGGCCACTCCTGGCTTTTCGGTCAGATACAGGTTTCACATTGTCCAGTCGATTCTCCTTCATGCAGGGAGCCTTACACCAAGTCTATTTCTCATGTTAGGCAACTTAGGAGGTGATAGTTTGGTCAGGAAAACAGCTGTTTTTCAGATGATGGAGAGTTAGCTATCAGTAGTTAGTTGGCATTGTCTCTACATCTGTGTTGAATACTAAAGTTTTTCTTTCAAATGCCAGCTTCACTACAGTCTCCCTTGGCTTTGTCAGTCCGTGTTATCACTGTTGCAACTCTATCTATCTCGAGCTAAATGGTACCTCAAACTACATACCTCGAGCTAAATAATACCCCAAGCTAAATATTTGAGAGTCAGCCAACAAGCACCGTGGACCATGGAGGTTTCCAACATAGTTGCTGCTAACTTGCTCAAATGTTGCATGTACCCATCAGCACTGGAAAGCAGCATGCAAATAAACTTGCAGCTTTGAGAGGTTGTAAACACTTTGTATTGGTGAGGTACAGGGAAAAGATTGAGAAGCTGCAATATACAGAGCCTAAGATTAATTTGGTCATATTTCATGTCCTCAAGCCATCTGGAGGATAAAAGCTCCCTTTCTAGCTTACCTATATAGCGAGGCTAATAAATAACTAAATACTGACTCAAGGGTAACTACAATGATTTCGTTAAATGTGTTTAGTAAGTTCATTTTGCTCTGAGGTTAATCATAAGTAGACAGCCCCCCTTGAGAGAAAGGTAGGACAAGACCTCTCATTTAGGAATCTGCACCTGAGAAGATTTATATAGAGATATGTATAGTATTTTTACATAGAGAAGATAGATCAGAGTGAAACTCACTAAATCATAGCAACTTACATGATATCATAAGAGGAGTTCCTCTTACCGTCTTTAAAGATAGAAAGATGAACTCGTTATCAAAGTGTCCTTCAAAAAATGTAGGTCCTCACATCTTCCTTAGGCAGAGCTCAATTAAGAAAATAGTAGGAGGTGATTTAAGTACAGTGGTATGGAAAATCACATCTTTTAACTTTCAAAAGAGAACTCTGAAACAAAAGAAAATACTATCTTTTACTCTGTCATCAATCAAATGGATAATGTCACATTTGTTGCAAGGACAGGCATGTAAAATCGTCACAATTTTAATTCAGAAAGCTTAGACATTAATCCTTTTGAAATGGTTTCTGCTTCATCTTCCCAGAGAGAAACATTTGTGAGCTCATGAAATTCTAATTGGAGCAGCTCGTTTTCTGTCTATATAAACAGCTTTATTAGGCTTGTTTATTGAAGGCTCAGGAGACTTCTCATCAACTTCATATATAAAAGCAGTGCTTATTGGAGCCATGTATGGAGGTAAAGGACATGAAGAAGCTCAACGTGGCCCAGGAATGTGCACTTGCAACCCAAAAAAACAACTGTATGCTGGGCTGCATCAAAAGGAGTGTGTCCAGCAGGTTGAGGGAGGGGATTCTCCCCCTCTTCTCTGTGAAATCCCACCTGGATTACTGCATTCAGCTCTGGGGCCACCAACGTAAGAAGGATGCAGACCTGTTCGAGTGAGTCCAGAGGAGGCCACAAAGATGACCAGGGCACTGGAGCACCTCTGCTACGAAGACAGGCTGAGAGAGTTGGACTTGTTCAGCCTGGAGAAGATCTCTGGGGCGATCTTAGAGCAGCCTTCCACTACCTAAAGGCAGGCTACAAGAAATACGGAGAAGGACTTCTTACAACAGCATGTAGTGGGAGATCAAGGGGTAATGGATTTAAACTGAAATAGCATCGATTTAGATTGGATATTAGGAAGAAATACTTTACTGTGAGGGTGGTGAGGCACTGGAACAGGTTGGCCAGAGAAGCTGTAGCTGCCCCATCCCTGGCAGTGTTCAAGACCAGGTTGGATGGGGCTTTCAGCAACCTGGTCTAGTGGAAGGTGTCCCTGCCCATGGCAGGGGGTTGGAACTGGATGATCTTTAAGGTCCTTTCCAACCCAAACCAATCTATAATTCTATGATTTTATGATTCTATGATTTGTGTTATATAGAAAAGGGTACAAGTCAGTTCTTTCACTAGTATTTAAATTAATTGCTCTCTGTGAGAATTTATACAATCTTCTCTATTAAGGAGCCCCATGCCTACAGCAAGTCTTCATATTTTAGTTTTCCAGTGAGCTGTTCCTGTTGCACCCAGATGATCAGCTTTTTGTCAGCTTCTACATGTTGTGACTTCTAGGCACTGACTTATGCATAAGTGACAAATGGTAGGATCAACAGTGTGGGTACTTGGAGTCAGCCCCAGGCACTGAGTCATATCACAGTGCCTCACTGACTTGATGCTAATAGTATTCCTTTCCTGTTGCTTTCATCATCGAAGGCAGAGTGAAAAGAAAATGCAACAGCTTTATCTGCATTAAGAGATAATCACAATAAAATTATTTTTGCATCCCTTAGGACCTACCTTCACATTCATCCTTTTCTTCTGATATTGGCTGAGAAATTCATTATCATCTAACTTGCATAACATTGCTTTCTCTAGGAATTAGATATGTCTGTCATGGAAAAAGCCATTATAACTAAGAAAATGAAACAGTTTTAAATATTTAGAAGAAGTGTTTTACCTAGGGTGTTCATAGCTGCATTGCAGTGATTTGTCTTTATTTTCTAAACCTCTGACATGTTTAGAAAGCCAACAGCCATCTGTGATAGCAAAGACAAGAGCATAATAAGATGAACTTAAACCATTCATGAAAAACTTCAGTAATACTACATGCCCAGCTGCAGTACAGCTGACATCTGTTTCATCAGAAAGATAAGGTTTGAGAAATCAGGGAAGGAAAGGTAAGAGGAAAACCGGGGAATTAAAACAAACTGACCAAAGCAAATGGCAGATTTCAGAGCATCATTTATGGCTGGGGCTAAAAAAATATTAGTAAAGTCTTCATATGTTACTTTAGTTGCAGGAGGAAAGCTGTGCATCTGTTCAAAGTGTTCTGATTTCATCCTTAAAGTTAAAATTTATCTGAGCATGAAGTGGAGATTGCTAGGTGAAGAGCAGACTGAATAAATACGAAATCTGGCTTCTCTCAGGCTGTCCTTTTAGAGTGATCCAACAACACAGCACATATAATGTAAGGACTTAAGAGAAAAACAAGTGACATAGCATGGAAAGTGATCTCGTTAAAGAATGCAGCTGATGTCACAGCTTTGAAAGATACCTGCCAGGGAGGTTCCTGTCACTGCTCTATCTGTAAAAATGTAATATTAAAAAGTAGTATAATCCAATCCCAGTGGATATAAACCAGCATTCTTCATGCTGAAGTGCTTCTCTGCTACAGTATTACCCCTCTCCCCCATGTAAGGTAGACAAAATGTACACATCACACAAGCCTGTAACTGAAGAGAAATGCAGTGGGATGAAATGAGGCTGAAAGTGAGCAGGTTTAGCCTACACAGTAATTGCAGACATTCTTTTGTCTGAAACTAGTACCCAGTCACAGGATCACAGCTGGGTACCTGGTGACTACAGTTTACTTGAAATGCTTATCAAAATAAATAAAGCATAGTGGTCATGTCGGACACCTAACCAGTAAGGTACTCTTCATCCAAAAGAGGGTTTTATATATTTGCCACCTAAATGAAAGATTGAAAAAGAGGGACCAAAACTAATTGACATGCTATGGCTATGGGACACTGTGTCCCCCATATGGTAGTTCAGATGCAGTATTTGTTTCTGCTAAAGAATTAAAAAAAAAAAAAAGTGTAATCATTCTCACCTCGCTTATGAAAATAGCTTACCTGAAATCATAGACCCTTTCTTTGAGAATGGAAAGCAGGAATAAGTGGAGTCTGGAAAATGGCTCAGAGCCACATCTTTAAGCCAGAGCACACAGAGCATGCAAAGAAGAATGATGCACAGAAAAGTGACCTACAGCAGCTCTGCCAGCCAGGACGGGTTTGGCCGATACCTTGACATAGTTAGAACAATCAAAGTGCTGCTTCACCTCAGCGTGCCAATTTCCAGCAGTCTCCAGGGGCCAGGGTGACAGCTAGGAGTGGCTGACTGTCAGGGGACACATAGAAGTAAATATACCAGCAGGATGTAATTCAAGAGTCCCCCTGCTTGAAGCTAAGTTTTCCAGGTTCCACTGTGCTCAGGGCTATTTCCCATGGGTGATTTCATGCAAAGGGCTTTACCGGAGCACAGAATGTGCCCACAATAAGCACATTGTTAAATGAGTAGAAGTATTTACTCACTGCCTGTGAGCAATCTAAATATGAAATATCTTCCACTGTATTTAATAGCTTGTGGAAGAAAACAATACAGCAGAAAGGTATCTGATAATACACGTTATGGAAGGGGCAGCAATGTTTTTTTGGCATATTGCACATTGCATGCCAGGCAGTGCAGGAAAGGCATGTTACTCAGTGCTTTTGATTGAGGATGCCATAGCCAAAAAGCCAAATTGTCATATGCCTTCCACTTCACTGAGATGCCATGCTATGGAAAACATTGTAGGCATGAATGGAAACCCCCATGGATGGCCAGATCTATATTGGAAGATCTGCCAAGGGAAAATGAGAAGCATATTGGGTCAATTTTGTTGTTTTTATACATGATGTTTTCCTCAGCTACATTTACTTTATTTGATGAAACACAGAATGTAGCACATCTAGACAAACATTAGGCAGACTTTTAATGCATCTTCCCATTTCAGAAGGTGCATAACTTCACAGTCTGCACTTCAGACTCTAGGACCTTGCTTGCAAAATCCCATCATTCTACTGTTGTGGCTCTGAACCTACATTACCATTTGCAGAACTTAATAATAAGGTATAATAAACATGGAAATATGAAGTCAGACTTCAGATTTATAAAGGAACTAAATGACAAACAAGTTTTCCTTGTGGCAATCTATTAAAATGAGCACAGATGTAAGAGTATCAGTAAAAAAAACACCACCACCAACAAACCCCCAAAACAAATAAACAAACAAAAACACCCCCCCCCCAAAAAAAAGTAAATTTATTAGATGTCACATGCCAATCTGATACAACAAAAATATACTGCCTGTTTAAAACAAGTCTTCCAGATCTGAAAAACTAAACTGATGAACTCTGCAGGAAGATGACTCTTCTCTTTTTGACATAAGGATTTGCTTGTATGGCACTCACACTGAAATCCAAATCTGAGCTAAGCTGTCTACTTTTATACACACTGGCACAGTCTGAGTTCAAATAATCCAAGTATGAGATTTGACCTATCCTGTTTGCATTTATAAGGTCTGGACGTGTCTGTTTGGAAGTTCCAGCAGATTGGCAACTCTTCTATATCAAGACAGAGTTTTATGTATGACCTTCATCTCGTTACTCTGGCAGTAATATCTACCTACGAACTGTCCTAACCAGACTACAAGAATGCTAAAATGAAGCTGGAGGACTTCATTAGAGTTTTACAGAAGACATATTGGATATATGTCACATAGTTAAGGATGCAGCAAATCAGAAATACTTTATGCATTTTTTCCTGTGAGCCATATCCTCCTGAAAGAGAATTATGTAAGACAATCATCGGATGTGTTTACAGCCCTTGAAATATGCCCTCTGCTGGCAGCAGAATTTTCAGCTCGTAATCATCTTCCAGAAATCCCTTGAGATCTTTGCCTCCTAAAGCCCTGAGAAAGTCACTGCTTATGAATCCATACCATTTGTGCACTTTGAAAGGTCAGACCTTGACATCTCATTTCTATCAACACCTGTGCTTCTCTTCACTTTAATGGAGTCAAGATTTCACTATTGAGACAACAAAACAACTTTGAAATCATCATCTATAGGTCATAAAAAGAGGACTTGATGTGTAGAAGTATAAACATTTATATGTGTATAGCAAGTATGTAATTAGAAAGTAGTCATTATAAGGAACCCCATGCTTGTCAAATACACAAATTTCAGCAACACATATTGAAGAGAGGGAAAAAAACCCCACATAATAAAAAGCCTTTTGTAGCCTAAAAACAATGTTAGCTGGAAATGTTAATGTTCTTCTCAGAACAGCTTAAGAAATTAAGAATACACCAAAATTATTTTTTTTTTAACAAACCCCACAGAAACAGACCAAAAGAATATGCAGTGATCCTAAGGTGTCATCTTTAAAAACCTTTCTGAGGATACAATGACAGAGCAGTACCTCATTTTGCAGTTGATAGTATGTTAGAGACTTATGGACAAAATCCTCAGATTCCATCCTCTGCATTTTAAGTCTCATTTCTGTGACTTTATACTGGTGCATCTCCTTGGGCTCCTCTGAAGTAGACAGCTTTCTCTAGCATGACCATTATAAGCTTGGACTATGGATTCTGC